CGCTAATTTTCTATCATTTTTTTTTTTTTAAATTTCTTAAATCTCTCCACACAGCAGCCTTGTTCATCAAGTTTTGTGTTTCAAAGTTATAGAGTTGAGAGAGAGTTGTAACCATAATTAAAGTAGCCTGCTTGACTGTAGTGGCCTTCATGGCCTTGGGGAGGTGAATTAACGTTAAAAAAAATCAATTTCCAGCAATTCCAGCTAGTTTTAGAGCACTTTTAGGATTCTGTCTGATCGTTTGTAGAATAGCTAACAATAAACTGATTTAATATTTTCCAGACATTCTGTATGTGGGTTAACAGCAATATTTTTATTAGTTTGGCGTTTCTCTTGATCATAGATTGTACAGTTGCACATAATTTCTTTACTATTTCTTCTATATTTTAAATTGCTATTTCCTCTTTCCATAGCTTAACAATAAGTGATCTAATTTTTAATAAATAATCAAACAAAAGTAGAATAAAGTTTAAATTAAAATATAAATCATAAATAATAAATCTAATTTATATAGAAAAATGTTGTTAAATACTGATCTATTAACACCTAGAGGTGAAAGGATTGGATGAAACACAAAGCTTTAAATAAAAACTATTTTTTTCATCTTTTATTTTGAAAATTCTTTGTATAATATTTCATTATTGTTTAATTAGTATAATTCACTTGAAACTATGCTTATATCTTTATTAAATAATCACACTCGAAAAATATACAGGATAGAGGGGATAAAAAACCTTTTTGATACACTGTATTTATTTTTATATATACATACAATTATGCATCTTATGTAGATGTATAATTGTTTTTACTAGTTTTTAGTATTAACAAGTGAAATTAGTAGAAGCTGGAGGTTAAGTTTTTATATTGCTATATAAAAACTAGACTATTTATCATAAAACTTAAACAAAACAAAATATGAACACAATACACATTATTGAATATCTAACAAGATTTAGGCAAATGCTAAAATAATTTACTTGTATACTTTATTGACAAAATACCTAAAGAAAAGACTTATAATTCATTTTATTTTGTAAAAACAGATTCTATAAAGTTAGCTAATTCGATATCTTTAGCAGAGATCCCAGAAACATCGTGTGTAGTAAGAGTAATTTGTACTTTATTGTAAACATTAAACCATTCTGGATGATGATTCATTTTTTCTGATAACAAACTCACTCTCGTCATAAAACCAAATGCTGCGTTAAAATCTTTAAAAATAAATTCTTTATGTATTGCATCTCTTTCTTCGATATACCTCCATCCCATTTGGATTAAAGGATTTACTAACTCTTTTCGTTCGATATCTGAAAGCTTCAGAAACTTAGAAACTAATATCGACATAGTTGCACGATAATAAAAAATCAAACAAAAAGTCAACAGTGAGTTATAAGTTAACAAACTTACTTAACCAAGGACGTAAAATAAGATGGACGTTCAACGCATTGTTTAAAAAAAAAGATACGCGCGTTACGGCATTGTTTGGACAACAAAAGAAAAACAATGGGGATAATTGCAAAATGTGGAAATATTTTTATTAGATCCGACGTCAAAAAAAATAGGTCTCGACTATTCAATATATAACAAATAATTTTAAAATATCGTAAAACGTCTTTCTGAGCAGCGAAACATAAAATGAATATAACAGATGACTTTAATATTAATCAAGTAGATTATTCTTATTTGCTAGAAAATATTGATTCTGAAATTATTATTTATGGAAGATTTTATCGAGCTAGACCTTAGCGAGTTAGTAGACTTCTTATCAGAGGATTTGGAATTAGAGCTCATACAATCAGCAATACCTACAGAAAAATCCATTTCAGAAGAAGAACCAAATAAGCTAGAAAAAAAGACGAGCGTTTAACAACTAAATTTACTTGCCCAAAATGTCAGAACAAATATATTAGAGAATCGAATTTTAAAAAGCATGAAATGAAATGTTACATTGGCACTAAAGGTGTGTTTATACTTATAAATTATGACATAATGAGAGTTGACCAGTTTAGACATTACTAAACATTACTAGACATTCATTATTTTAGACTTTCCACGACATGTTGGTAACATGTAAAGGAGCTTAATTTCTAAACTGGTGCTACTGTGTTCTTAGTAAAAAGGTTATGAAAATATTGCATCAGTTCCTAATTTTAATTTTATAAACTACTCAAAACTATGTAACATGTACTACTCAGTAGTACAGTAGTCTACTAAACTTCATATAAGAAATCATTTTATTACATTTTTCATTACTTTTTTACAAATCTAAGTATTTAAAATTAAAAAATAATAGGTTAAAGGTTACGTTTTATTAAAATAAAAAAAAATTAAAATAGTTAAAATAGTCAGAATACTTTTAATTGGTCAAAATATTCTTATGAAATCTCTTAATTTTGAAATTTTTTTTATAATCTGCAAAGTAAAAACACTTTTATTAGAAAAGTAGGCTTTTATTAGAGTTTTGATAATTAAACATACTATATGTCTGCTTAGATAATGCAAATAATGATAGAGCAACTAAAACCAAATCAAATATTAAAGAAAAAGGTGAGTTATTTATTGTTATTAAAAATTATATGTATATTATATATGTATATATTATATATGTATATATAATATATATATAATATATACATATATATATATATATATATATATATATATATATATATATATATATATATATATATATATATATATATATACATATACATATATGGGGCGGATCCAGGGGGTATCTTGCAATGCCTAGGATTCACCCATACAATTTTGACAATTTGTAAACAAATCTGTTTAATAATATGAATAATACTATAATTTCTGTTTATTTTTAGTTTTGAGAATTGTTTGTTAACTACTTACTTTAATAATAACTTTTTTGTTTATTGACTAAATTTGTTTATTATTTTTTATCTTACGTGTAAGTTAATCTTTTATTTTAGTGAAAATTTAAAAAAAATAAAAAAAAAATCCGTTAAAAAGAGTTTTCTAACTATACATGATTCCTCCAATTCATAGCATTCTTAAACCACGTCTTTAATATAAATAAATACAGAATGTCAAACCCAGCTTTAAAATTAGAAAAGTCAAAAACTAATTAATTCCATGAAGAGCGTAATACGACATTCTTGATAAGGCAGTTCAACATCGTACACTGCCTATTAGAAAATTGAAATAACCCAGAAATTAATGGTTAACCTACGACAACAATACCAATACTTACATAAACTGCCTATCAAGAAATAAAAGAATCCAGAAGCAGAAGACTTACTTAAAGCAGCAATATTAAAACATTACCAGGGTCATATCCACGCAATCCCATACCGTTTGAGCACTATGGGCGCACAAACTAGTTCTCCCAAATAAAAATTCCATTAATCATAAATTCCAACATTAATATATAACGGATTACAAATACAAAGAAAAATCACCCTTTGAGCGGAAATATCACCTCTAAAGTGGTTATGAGATAATTTTTCTAGTTATTCCAAGTGAAGTGCACTTCTCTTTTACTACACGTGTAGTAACAGAAAGATTTTAAAAACCCCTCTCCCCCTCCTTCCGCTGCCGTGAACAATATATATTTAAAAGGGTATTGCCCAAACTATCGCTAGATAAGGCCCTGATTTTATTGACTGTCTATCATGTATATGTATATGATAAAAAATTTTATGGTAGACATTTCTTTAAAAACTCTGCATGTAATGACTGTAACTTTAAAGTAAGCTAAATACTCTTTAATTTTGTGAACTAGATAAAAGTCTGAAGGAAAAACTTTCTCTTAAATCAAATTAATTAAAGACAATAGTTTTCCTCTAGTGTTACAGTGATATTTTCATATATGTATATATATTCTATTTCTTTGTTGTGAACCTTCCAGCTGGTAATTTGTTATTTAACACCTTTGTATAATATTTACTTGTAAATTTATTGCCATTGTTGTTATTGTTATCAAGAAAAGGATAGATTAGTGGAGGGATAACTTTAGGCCACATGGCAATTTTCAGATGGAGTGCAAAGTCCTATGGCTTACCTTCTCGTTGGTGCACTTCGTTAAATGAGTTAGACAAGTGATAAATGTCTAGTTTATGAACAAAATAGCCAAGGCAACATTTAATAATTTTGTATTAGATACGTAATTGAAAAAAATGCCAAATAAGTAATTATAACTAGTGATGTACCAATAACAGAGATAATGGCTAATAATAGAAATTAATGTATAAGAATAATATTATAATATCAGGTATGCATAATGCTATCGGCCGATTAATCAGTCAATGGTTTTTTTGATTAAATCTTGAATGTGCCAATGCTATTTGCTAGAACACAGAATCTCTGCTGATGTATAGATACATTTTATTTATATTTTTTACATACCTAATATTAATATATATTACTCTCGTATATATACATTAAACCATATTAGCTTAATCAGCTTTTGTCATCGGTGCACTAATAATAAGTACATCACATCATATGTAGCAATGCCGCTTTGATGCTAAGTTGCCAATTATAGTTAGCGACAATTATGGTCAGTTTCCCCGGCTGGGGAAAGGTAGGCAACACCCTTAGAAAGTCTTGTGTATATATATGAGGGGGAAAAGTAGGCAACACCCTTAGAAAGTCTTGTGTGTGTATATATATATATATATATATATATATATATATATATATATATATATATATATATATATATATATATATATATATATGTATATGTATATATATATATATATATATGTATGTATATATATATATATATATATATATATATATATATATATATATATATATATATATATATATATATATATATATATATATATATATATATATATATATATATATATATATATATATATATATATATATATATATATATATATAGGGCCCTGCGAAGCTTCAAAATTTCGAATCGAATCCAATAAGTGATTTGAAATACGATTTGAAAATTAAACAAAATCGAATCGAAATTTTTTTTTTTTTTTAGGTGGGGAAGGTGTCAGATATAAACCATAAATATTTATATATTGATATTTAACGATTCGGCGCTATCAAAACAATGTTACTTATCCGTAAAAACTTTCTTAATCAATCGCTAAAAAGTTTAATCAGGGCAAAAAGCACCAAATAAAAATTTATTTAAAATTTTTTTTGTTTTATTTTGAAATATATAACATTAAAAAAAAAACAACTTATATTTAGATTTAAAAATAATGATTCGAAATGTGATTCGAAACGCGAATCAAGACCTGCTTTGATTCGAGATTCGATTCGAAGCAAAAAATGCCAATTCGCAGGGCCCTAATATATATTTTTATCTAAAGAATCTTATTATTTTTTATTTTATAGAACTTCTATCATTAGAGCTCATAAAAGAATTGTATGAAAATTCTGTTAAATTAATTGAAGAAAGTTTAAAAGCAGCTATATTAGATGAAACTTTTAGTATTATAATTGAAGGGCTTAAAACTCCAGGAAATTATGCAGCTGAGTTAGCCTTATGCATAGTTGAAAATGCTGGACAAAAAAAGATTGATTTTTGCAAAAATATTTTTGAAGTATTTCTTCCTATAGTTAATTTGTGTGGAAACACATCCCAGTTAGGAGAGCAACAGTGTACGATGTTGAACTGCCTTATCAAGAATGTTGTATTACGCTCTTCATGGAATGAATTCGTTTTTGACTTTTCTAATTTTAAAGCTGGGTTTGACATTCTGTATTTATTTATATTAAAGACGTGGTTTAAGAATGCTATAGATTGGAGGAATCATGTATAGTTAGAATCAAATTATAAAGAGCTAGATTTAAAATTAACATCAGAAGAAGAAGAAACTGTTCGCTATGTAGCTGGGTTTATTCCATTTTCATTGCGAAAAATGTATTCTAATCACCTAATTATCAAATATAAAGGTGAAGATCTAAGATGTTTTAATGAAAAAATTTCAATCAAGTTTTCTTATCGATTTGAGTTGGACATCGCTAACCAAAAATGTTGAATGTGAACCTTTAAAGGATTTATTAAAAGAAATTATACTTCGAAAGTGGGTGAGCATACGTACGCGCTCTTTTTTAAAAGCCTGGGTCCGAATAATAAATAGAAAGAGTGGAAAAATAGGAAACAATGTATCAGAAAAAGGTGAACCGGCATTAAGAAAAACATTGCATAAAAAGAAAAATAATTTAAAGTAATTAGATATTAGCAAAGTTAACTTTAAAAACTTTTTTTAAACTTAAACTCTTTTTTATAAAAAATTTTACTTCATATATCCAAACTAATATTTTTACAAATAAAACTATTTAATTCTAGTTATATTTATCGATGACGGAAATATTTACTAAATATTTACTAATTTTTAATGTAAACTTTCACTGATTATTTTTTTTAAGTTTTAGATTTAAGTTTGATAAATATTATTTTGATAACAAGTAAAAAATATTAAACGGGGATTAGGGGTCTTAATAAGCTTAGGATGGGTGGGAAAAATGTCCAAAAATTATTAAACGTACCCCCTCCCTCCTCCCCCCGTGTATTAAAGACACGAGAGCATTTATATATATAATAAGATATACAATAGACAACTTACATATGTTTGTTTAACAAATTACTTTTACCTTTATACTTATGTATTTTTATATTTGTTTTTTGCTAACAAAGGATTGGTAAAAATAAGCACTACTCGGTTATTTTTGTTTGCTTTTTTCAAAACATCTTTAGTTTTTACTTGATAAGGGTTGATTTTTTTACTGTGATTTCATTTTTACGATGATGATATGAAAAGTTTGATGGATTAAATTTAAATTGATGGAAATTAATTTTAATTGATGGATTAAATTTAAATTGATGGAAATATTGTTGTATTAAAATATTTAAAGTGAAATTGAAAAGTTTATTCAACAATCATCTTGGAATGTTAATATTGAAATGTTAAAATAACTGACAACAAAGTATTTTTTTTTTGTTTTAACAAAATATTTTTTGTTTGGTTTTTGTAACAAGTCTTTGTTTTGACAAGTATTTTTTAACAAGTCTTATTTTACAATTGATTTGCTAATTACTTGTTTCATTGTAATTTTTTAATTTGGGGGTGTTTATATCGATTTTTCGGAAATGAGCCTAAGTTTTTCCAAAATTAAAAAAATAGATTCCTAAGACACACTTTCTTCTATCTAACAACCTTAAACTTACAATATTAAAAAAATTAAAATATCGATTTTTTAAGGTTAGGAATATATGACAAATATTTGAATTAGCGTGTTATGCAAAAAAGTGTTCTTTAAAAAATTATCGATTAAATAATTAGGCTCATACCGCGAAAAATAGAGGGGAGGATATCGTTTTTTAAAAAAAAGCCAGTTAAGAATAGAAAATAAACTTTGCTTCATTTTTATATTAAACTTTGCAGCGAAACGACCGGACGCAATCGAGTTTCGCGCAAAAAACTCGATTTCCCGCTCGATCCCCTATCCCCACGGCGTGATAATATAGATTGGTATATTATATTTTTTATTATTATATTTATTACCAGGGGCGGCGGATTAGTGGGGGTTTAACCCCCTCGCTTTTAAAAGTGTGGGGATTTTTAGTATGCATGCTGTAAAATATTTTAGTTTTAGTTCTTATTTTAAAAATCAAAAGTTAAATTCTATATATAGATAAAGCCCTATTATAGATGAAACCCTATTGTTCTAACGTTACGATATGTAAATATAGATAATACTAATAAAAATCTCTTTACTTTTATTTAAAAAGTAAAAGTTAAGTCTAGAAATCTCTATTTATTTATTACACTATATATTTATTAAATTGACATTTAAATTCGATTCACTGCCTAATGAAAGTATTTTAATATAAGTTAAGAGAATATTTGCACTAAATCATTTTTTTCGTTTTTTACTTGAAGGTAAATCAGTGTTCTTCACATCAAGCTTTTGGAATTCATCCTTTTGACCTTTGGTATTTGAACCAAAAACACGAATTAAATTATCTCCTGAAACATTTAGGGCAAGTGCATTGGAATTAAATTCAATTAACAAAGGATTGTCATTGCAACCTAATCGCATTCGTTGCTTGCCAAAGTATTCCTCTAATGGATCTTGGCAGAACTTTTCGGACAGAATGTACTCAGCTCCTTCTACCAGCAAAAACTTTCCAAGAGTTGTAAACGAATTCACTAGAAAAGAAAACAGTTTTTAATCGAATTTATTGTGGTAACTTATTGTTTCCAATATACTACTATACAAGCCTTAAATGAGAAAATAAGTATTGGGCGACATTTTAATATTTATATAACTGATATATAATAATTTTATTTATAATGTTTTCTGCATATAAATAAAGAATCTAACTATTTGTATTTCATTGACGTGATACAGTAGAACTTTTTTTTAACCAGTAATTCGAAGTCCTTCAAGAGTTTGTTTACTTAAGCAAAATCTATTTTTTTCTGCCTGAGACAAATTAAGAATGTTTCGACATTTTTCTTCCTAACTATGGATAAAACTCAAAAATGTATTCTGGAGCCACTAAATGAATATACATATATATATATATATATATATATATATATATATATATATATATATATATATATATATATATATATATATATATATATATATATATATATATATATATATATATATATATATATACATATATATATATACATATATATATATATATACATATATATATATATATACATATAATATGCGGTAGTGGTGTAGTGGTAGAACGCTCGCTTCATAAGCGAGAGGTTCCGAGTTCGATCCCCACCCTGTCCCTGATAGTACCGCGCTCAACTTGTTTCTCCGCGCAGCGGCCTTGTTCATCAAGGTTCGTGTTTCGGAGTTATAGAGTTGAGAGTGGGTTATAACCACAATTAAGTAGCCTCCTCGTCTGTAGTGGCTATATATATATATATATATATATATATATATATATATATATATATATATATATTTATATATATATATATATATATATATATATATATACATATATATATATATGTATATATATATATATACATATATATATATGTATATATATATATATACATATATATATATGTATATATATATATATGTATATATATATATGTATATATATATATATATATATGTATATATATATATATATATATGTATATATATATATATATATATACATATATATATATATATATATATATATATATATATATATGTATATATATATATATATATATGTATATATATATATATATATATATATATATATATATATATATATATATATATACATACATATACATTTATATATATATATGTATATATATATATATATACATACATACATACATACATATATATATATATATAGTATATATATATATATATATATATATATATATATATATATATTACAGATCAGCTATTGGAACCAAGGTATTAGTACTAACTACTTTTTGTAGTTAATTTTAACTACAAAATTATTTTAAGTTTTTCAAATAAAAGAGCTTGATATAATCATAAAGTAACTTACATCGAATCTAGTATCATCTATGGCTTTATATCGATCGAGATCTGGTTTTCGAGAGTAATTAAAAATCTTTGAAACATTTAAACAATCGAAAAATTTGTCCATCATTCTAATAAATTTGAATAACGATTTTGTTGAATGGAGGCCCTGTTCTTCTAACATGTCTACTAATGTTAAACTGAGTAACTTTTCATAAAAAAACAATACAGATAAAAAAAATACATTTATTTTCCTGCAATAGGTCAAGAGATACATGTATATCATTAATATATTCGATAAATATTCTCCACTGGCATGTTTTAAATCCAGATCTGCAGAAGTACAATTTATTTAACTCTAACCTGTACCGCTAGGTTTACTCGCATACGTGTTTTTGAATTGAGGTTGATATGTTCTTCACTTAACTTGTGTCCCATATCAACCCCACTGCATCTCTATCTATTCCAATATCCCAATCATAAAAACTGATTATTTGATTCCAAACAAGCATCTGACCATCAATCTGAAATACACAAAAAAATTATACATTTGTCTGTAAAACAGCCCTAAAATTATAATTAAATAAAGGGTAAAATATATGATTTTTTTAGGTGTAGCTAAAAAAGTTTGAATTATGTCATAATCAGAACTATTTGACAAGCTTAGAGTTTTACTTAAGCATTAACGTTTTACAAATTCATTATTATCTGTCTTAAAAGTTCTTAAAAAAACATATTTTGAGGTCATGACTGGCAAGACTAAACTATTCTTTTAGTCCTTAAATGATAAACGAAACAGTTGATGAGCTTTTTCGGTTCGAACCTAGTTTAGTTTACACCTATTATATATTGTGTGCTAAAATTATTTCTAAATTTGCCTTGGCTATTCTGTTCATAAGTTATACATACAACATGTCTAACTTACTTAAAGAAGTGCACCAACTGGAAGGTAAGCCATAGGACTTTGCACCCCATTGTAATGTTGCCTATTAAACCTAGAAAACATTACAACCCTACTTTTTCTTGATATGCAATAATATATAATTATTAGTAATATAGCATAAACTTATAATATTTCAATTAAATGAGTGCTTATAAAATATATGAAACAAAATAATAAAATATGTGGTACAAAATTAAATACTGAAAATGCTAAAGCAATTCAAATATCATTCCTTGTTATTGACATCAGAGAAATTACATCCTTATTTAATAGAAATTAAATGGCAAAAATTGAATATGTTGTTTATAAATATGCATTTGATAATTTTAGTGAAAAAATATATACATACCATAAGATTTCTACTTGAAGAGTTTTCATGTGATTTTTCAAGGTTGTTTCTCATGGTTTTCATCAAGTGAGGTACATCACAAATAAAAAATATCTTCCGGTCTAAAATATTGTTTTAATAATAGTTTAAAAGACAATTTTTATGAACAATTTAATGTTGAGCCACTCTTTACCAGTTCTTATTGAAACCTAACATGTAGATCATAAATGCCATAAATATATATATATAACATCAACAAACAATACTTATATTTAACATACTATATATCGTTTTGTTATTTTTATTCATATTTTTACAATTTTTTTATAATTATAATTTGTTATACATTCTAGGACAACACTCATTCCAAGTCCAGTAAATAACACCATCTTTAGTATTTTCTTGTGATTTCCAAGCATGGAGAGGTATAAACGTTCAGTTTGGAGATGCACCATCCGCTACAATTGCCATCACTTTTAGACCAACTGATTCTAATTGCTTTATTCCATCCCATACAGTAAAATACAATTGGCTGCTAGAAAGACCTCCAGCAGAAGCAAAAAGACCAAACACATATTTTAGAGAAGATGTAATGCCCCTCACCATTAAAACAGTTACATATGATGCCAAAGGTATGGTTTTTGGATCTTCTACATTGCTGTTTTCTTTATTTTCTGTATATTTATTTTCAAAATTCAAGAGCATCTCATTAATAGATCCACATTCTGAAAAACCTACCAACTTTCCAGTTGATGAGCTAAAAGCAAGCCCACTTTTTATTTTCATTTCATCAAAAATGATTGAAACATACCTTAGGTGCTCTTTTATATTAGGTAAATCAATTTTTCTGGTCAAGTTGTACATTACATCCTTGTTAAAACCACAGCCTGGGTCAGTAAAGTTGATATATTTCTGAAGAGTATTTTTGCAAGGAAGAAATGACGTCGAACAAATATGACGATAGGCACCGGGAGATTTCAAATATAAACTGATGCACCATCTTATAATTAAAGGATGCACTTCATAGACCTTCTGTCTTTAAGTCCAGCCTGGATTTTTTGTTGTTGCCACAACAGTGCTTGAGGTGATTCCTCAGTAAAAGGGTTTTCTTCCCCATATTTTTCATGTTCCTCAATAATTGTGTGTTCTTCCTCTTCAAGAACAACCCCTTCTTCTATTTTAGATTTTTCAAGTTTTTTTTGCATTCGTTGTTGTTTTGCAAGATTTTCTTTTTTTCTTTCTCTAAAAGTTTAATTTTTGTTAATAATTCTGATTTAAAAAAGTAACGGTCATTCTTTTTACTGTTGGATGTGATAGATGATTGATTTTCATTACTCTTTCTCCTAGACTCCATTACACGCAAGTTAGTACGGTACATGGTACAGGAGTCACAACAGACTTTGGAACATATTAATGAACAATCTTTATGTCTAATAACTTTAAAGTTGTCAACTGTATTGCCATCTTCCATCTCAATTATTCCAACATCTTCATTTGATGTGCTTTGGAAATTTTTAAAATCAGAAAATTTATTTCTGATTAAATAGTGGAAGTCATTATTACCTTGACATATGTTTTATACATAAAATGGTTGAGAATATTATATCAGCAGATTGCAGATTTAGATAATCTGGTAATGATTTAATAACAGTATTGGATAATGGCACTTCACGATTTAAAACAATTAGTCTCCACATGGTATTTGACTCTAATGACAGTGTTTTGCTAACAACTTGGCTGAACTCTTGATTTCAACTATTACAAAATAATTTTTGTTGTTTTCATAGTAACAGTCAAAACCATGTTTCAATGCAACTGCTTTTAACTGTTGATACGTATTTATCGCAGGTACTTTTTTATTTCTTCCAATTTTTGTGACATACATAACAGGTTTCTGTGTGTTCAGTACAAGCGAAGAACTTATCACTCCTTTCGACTTCAAAGCTATTTTTTGTTTTTAAATCTAACCTATATAAGACCATATAACATGATTTGCATAAATATTCTGGATGTACCTTTTGATTATCTGAAGTTATATCCAGCTTGTAAATATTAAGAATTATATGTTTATAGATAATAGCAGGTTTTAATTGATAATGATTATCCTTTTTTATTTTCAATCCACACTTTCTACATAAATATTTCAAAGATTCCTCATGAAGACTCATTATCTATTCAGTAATGTGATCAAGATATGTATATATACTTCTTTTGATATAATACCTATAATAGGATAAAATAAAGTTTAGCAACTTACTAAAAATTTCATAATAAAAATAATAAGATTATCTTATTATTTTTATTATTATATTGTTATACTATATTATAATATAATATAACAATATATTATTGCTAAGAATAATAAGATAATATTGATATATAATATAATATATAGATATATAAGATAAAATAAGATAATATAAGAGAAATATATAAGATAATATAAGGTGATTTAAGATATAACCTAAATCTTATATTATATTATTAATATAATATAAGATTTAAATTATATCTTGTATTATATTATCTTATATTATCTTATTAAGTCTTATATAATAACAAAAATAGTAATAATAATAACAAGATAATCTTAATAACAATAATACTGTTAAGATGAATCTTGTTATTAATTTATATAGATTAATAATAAGACTACCTTATTATAACAACAATTATACTATTATTATTATAAGATTCATCCTACAATAACCTTAATAATACTATTATTATTAAGATGAACTTTATTATCAATCTATATAGATTAATAATAAGATTATCTTATTATAACAACAATGATATTATTGTTATTAATAATAAGATTATCTTATTAATGTTATTGTTATTTTCGTTATTATTTACGACTTGATAACAACATAATAATTTAACTTAATTTAAGTCAAAGTAGTGATTATCCACAACTGACTGTTTAAAAAGGTTGTGTTTAGATCATATCCTATTCGGAACGATTATTCTATTTGCGTATTTTTTAATAGCAAGGTCAATGATATGTATTTAGTTAATATATATCATTGAGCAAGGTAGATTAAAGATTAAAAAGTAAGCAAGATAAAACCAATAGTAAATATTTCGTCGGGGATAATGCAAATCCACGTAACTAGCATTGGCTACTATATTTGGATATTATTAATTTTAACACCAAATATTTACTGTTGAGATTACAAAAAATGTGAATAATACTCTTTATACTAAAGTTTACCCAAAGTCAGTTAAAATAAAAAATATGTAAAGTTTTAAACTTCTCTAGTAAAATGTACTCTAGATACGTGGTATTATTCAATGCTAGTTACGCTGTTTTGCACTATCCCCGACGATTTAGTTTTCTAAATGACATTGAAGCCTAATTAAATTTACATTACACTTAAATAACAGTGCTTTTTAATAAAAATATAGAATAACAATAAACAAGACTAACTATGAGCAATGTTTAAAAATGATTTAAGTACCAAAAATGCACTGTATACTGCTTAAAATAACGGTCTTAAAATAGCTAATTAATAGATTTTTAATATTTAATTATAATTATTTAAGATATTTAAACTAGTTGCTCAAGGCGAAAATAAAATGTAAACAACGACTTTCCTAAATATTTAACATTTATTTCAATATATAGCAATAAAGAAAAAAAAACTATTTTTAAACAATTTATATAAATATTTTCAAACAATTAACAAAAATAAATTTTATTTTACAATCCAATATGTCTATGTTCAGAAAAATATGTCATCAATTATAAAAACTGTTTTCTCGTGTTAAATCCATTGTCCAATATATGTTTTTGCTTAAAATTAGATGTAAGAATAAACTGAAGTTGCATTTGTTTGAAGAATTATCTAAAATTCAATAATGGAATGAATATATATATATATATATATATATATATATATATATATATATATATATATATATATATATATATATATATATATATATATATATATATATATAATATATATATATATATATATATATATATATATATATATATATATATATATATATATATATATATATATATATATAACTAGATCGCCTTAAAGTCGACAAATCCTGTGAAAAATTTCAACGGAAAGTAGACTTGAGTGGAAAGTCGACAAAATCTAGTCGACCTAACGTTTTTCATCTTAGTTTTATCAAATTCATTCTTTCCTATAAGTTTTTTTTTCTATTTCAATGAAATATAATAGTTTTTGATTAAAAATACAAATTTGTTTTTTTTTAATTGCCGTCGAGGAGTATTTTTTTAGATTAGTACTGCTAGTATTACTAGCAGTATTAATATGTATGGTACAGGTATTATAGTTTAGGCAGGAATAACTATAAAGAGTTTTTGACTGTTAATAGTCTTAAACTCTTTATAGTTATTCCTACCTAAACTATAATGCCTGTATCATACAGATTAATACTATCTATAATAAATATCTTATAACTAGTAATTACTAGTAATATACAAGTGTCTTATAATTAGTTATTAGACACATTAGTATAGTAATTAGATCTATATATTATAAGATAGTTATTAATAGTTATTTAACAGTTGACAAGATGGTTTTGTTCGCCATATTGTAGTGGTTAAAACCCTCTTATATTTGTGATTTACAATGGTTTAGTTAGGAGAATGCATGACTACTAGTATAGAATAGAATACAAGATAGAAAACAAGACTAAATAGAAAGCAAGACTAACTAGGAAATAGGAAATAGCTGATTCACATTCCTTTATTAAATTAAGAAACTATGATTGTATCAAGTTAACTATATTTTATGGTAGGCAAGTTGGCATACCTGCAAGACTTACAAGTAAAGAACATGAAAATTTAAAAGGTTTCAGATGCTGAAACGACTATCAAACTTCAGCAGCTTACTATCTTTTTTATAGGGAAAGTGTCTTGGAGCTTTTTATCAAAACTCCTGTATATATATATATATATATTTTGATTTGTTTGAATAGTTTTTAAAGTAGCAATTTTATTTTTTTTAATAATTGATTTTTGCAAGAAATATTGTTATGAGAAAAACAAAAGAACACAATAAAATTTACTAAAATTTTTTTAACAAGATGTAAAGCAAGACTTTTAAAAGCAAAAAAAGTTAAAAGTAGCACTGCAAGCAGTTTAAATGAAGTAGGTATGTTATTTACTATTTAATTTTTTTGGCATGTTTTTTTAATTTAAAAAACAAATAAAATTTTATTTGTATATCATGTTATTTTCATATGACTATTTTTATTTGATAATTAAATAACTTTTATCAATATTCTGTACTCAAGTTTAAAAAAATACAAATGAAAACTTTTTCTACTGAATATGAAAGCAGTTCAAGCAAATTGTAGTTCCATTTTCAAACTAATGATTATCAAATGAATAGAACTGAAAAAAGTTCTGTCTCAGTCTCAAGTTTTATAGCAAAGTATACACCAGATAATCTAACTCTATTTATATATTACAACTTTTTTTATTTATTTTGAAGTTTTTTTAAATTTTAATGATCACATAAGACTATGAAAAAATTGAAAGTTTTATTCAATAGCAGATAAAATTGAAAGTTTTATTCAATAGCAGCTAAACTGTTGGTCCAAAGTGGGCTGTGCCCTCAATACAAGAGTAGAAAAAAATAGCCTACATAATAATCAAATAGCTTATTTATTTTATTTTACCTTATTTATAAACTTAAGTTGGCTCCTCCACTTCAAATATAGTTCCTCTAATATAGTGAATAATACTTATATATGCACTGTAAGCAAATACTTAAATAGTTATTTTGTGTATAACTATGGAGCAAATTTTGACAATTCAACTTTTAATAAATGTGTTTTATTTTATTGTATCAAGAGTATGTTTAGGCATGAGGGCAAGGAGATGGGTAAAATTTAAGAGCATTTGAGAAAGTTATACATATGTGAAAACTTTTGAGTCTTGTGAGTAGCTATAAAAGTTATATAAATCTTATTTACGTCGTAGGTATAATCAAAAGGACAATATTAGTGAGAGAGTGTTTTTTATAAAGATTTCTGAAGTATGTTAGTTTAATCACAGGGTATGACTTAATACATTTACTTGGATACCCTGATTAGGTATAATAAAATTATATTAAAAAGATTTATCGTTTTAATACAATATTATGGTTAATTTTTATCAAATAAGATGGAATAAAACAAAAAATTAAGGGTAAATGTTAAAACATCCCATAAACTTTTTAAAATTTATATCACTTGTCACAAATTGCTGTTTTACTCTTATTTTACTTTTGATTTGAGTTTTGTATCTTTATTTCAAATTACAGCACATATCTTTTCTATTTCAGGTTGACAAGATATGACTAAGTTTGGATCAAAATACGGATCTGGCCCAATAGCATAAAGATCCGAACCTTTTCCGAAGTTCAAACGACATTAAAACTTATTTTTTTAAAGTTAATTTAAAACAGTTCCAAATAAAAATTTATACTTTGAAGTAATGTTTTTTCAATTAACTTTTTCCTTTAAAGTTTCATTTATAAAACCTTTAAATTACTTTCGTGGACCACGGCGATACCTGTGACACAAAAATACACACTTTTTTTCACCTGTGTATTTATAAGAATTGTTATCCCGTGGTGAGCGCATTTTTTTATTGTCGACTTTAAGGAAATCTAATAAAAAAAAAGTTAAAGTCAACTTTTAATAAAAAAAAAATTCCTCGAAAACGTTAAGTCGACTTGACATTGAAAATTGAAGAAAAGTTTTAAAATATTTAATATATATATATATATATATATATATATATATATATATATATATATATATATATATATATATATATATATATATATATATATATATATATATATATGGATAGAAAACTATGGATATTCAAAATGGATAGAAAACTAGCAAAAAAATGAACTTTTCGTGTTTTTATATGTTTGTTTTAATCACATAGCATGAGTAATTTCAAAAACAAAAACTACCTATTTAACTTAATTAATCTGTAATTGCTAGATTATGATATATGAATAAAAACAAAAAAATACATTTTTTGGCTAGTGTTTATTTTGGCCAAGACTGTATATATAGGTTAGCAATATATAGTAGAAGTCAAAAGTACGCCTCGTTTTCAAAATTGAAACGGATGCCGTAAATTATCGTTCACCCTCCCGGAGTTGTTACATATTATTATAAAGAATCGACTACAATTAGTTTTTTTTATCCTTTAATGTAATTAAGTGCGCAATTTTTAATATAAGTACTTATAAATCTGGAAAAAACACACACTTAAAATTTAAATTTTACTGTGTAAATAAAATATGCATTGCATATTTTTTTTTCTTAGTGAGGAAACGATGGATGTGGTTTTCAGAATGTCACTTAGGCAGAGTTATCACAAGGTTGTCACAAGGCCAAAAGTAGTTATCACAGAGTTATCACAGAGTTGTCACAAGGCCAAAAGTAGCAAGGCCAAGGCCACAATTTACAAGACCAAGGATAAGGCCAAAGCCAAAATTTTTGAGGTCAAGGCCAAGATTAGGAATTTCAAGGCCGAGACGTACCCAAGGTTTTTTAGGACTTCAATTTTTGCTTAGCGTTAAGGCCAATTCTTCACAAAACTGTAATTTGTATTTAATATTTTCAAGACCAAGGCCAACAGTTTCAAGGCCAAAGCCTAAATTCAGAGTTGTTAGTACTTGGCTAAGGCCAAGTACTAACAACTCTGCACTGAAGTGACATTCTAAAACCATATCTATCTTAAAACTAAATTTCAGTTTAGTACTCAAAGTCTGGGGTACTAAACTTTAGTCTCTTAAATCTCTCAATTCGCAAGAGATCTCTTTTATCTCAAAGTTGATGGTAGATATATAAAAACTTGCAAATATAGCGATACAAATGACATTAAAAAGCTGAAGTTAAACAAAAATTTCTTTACTATTTCCACTTTAAGTATTCATTTTTTATTTAAACTTGTCCCAATAAGTGGCAGTATAATAAGATATATGTATATATATATATATATATATATATATATATATATATATATATATATATATATATATATATATATATATATACCACTGTTTTTTTTAGTAATGCAAATTAGTTAATTATGCCGCTTTATAAAACTGCATCAAAGTTGGATGAAGCACACACACTTATTAAAGACCATGAACTTGAGTATACTGTTCGATTTAGTACATCCTTTTCTACCAAAGACTTTGGAAATACTGGTATATTGCATATCAATATATTTATATATATATATATATATGTGTGTGTTTGTGTTTGTGTGTGTATATATGTATATATATATATATATATATATATATATATATATATATATATATATATTATATATATATATATATATATATATATATTTGTATGTATTTATATATATATGTATATAGCTTATATACATACATACATACATACATATATATATATATATATATATATATATATATATATATATATATATATATATATATATATATATATATATGTATGTATGTATTTATATATATATGTATATAGCTTTGGCTCCCTGCCCCTGCATGTTTTTACCCAATAAAAAAATTCTTTTATTGCGTAAAAATTTCCAAGGGTTTATAATATATATATATATGTATATATATATATATATATATATATATATATATATATATATATATATATATATATATATATATATATATATAAAGATATAAAGAGAGAGAGAGAGAGAGAGAGAGAGATACATAGATAGATAGATAGAAAGATAGCTGTGGCTATTGGTCAATTTATGATAAGTGCCAATATGACAGTTTGCTGGAGAAAAAATTGAATATTTGATTTGTTGCCATACATTGGGTAATAATAAAAATTAATTTTGTATTAACTATAGATACTTCTGTATAAACTGCATCAATCGTAGTTTGACCAAATAGAAAATCTAATGAAATATAACAATACTGCATACTTATCTCAAAATCAAAAAAACCAATATTGAGATATTTTTTAATATTTTTTTTTTTATAGATTTACTCCTATTTGTTAAAATATATTTATTTTTACAATAATTTCAAGGGGATATTGATACCCTCATAATCGTTATTTATTATAATAATGAAAAACTGTTATAATAAACATTAAATTATGTATATGTGTATTTTAATATGTCGATAAATTAAACAATATTCCACTATTATTTAAAAAGTTCTGAAAATTAGACTTTTTTTAAATAGATTTAAAGAAAAAACCCCACAAAATTTATTGGTCTACTGATTCCATTGAGTTTTCTGGTATACCATTCATGATGATTGGCACAAAAATTTTTGATTGCCATCATGGATATGATAGAAACTTAAGTAGGAAAGAATACAACAAACAAAACAGAAAAGCATTAGTGAGTTAATTGTATTTAAAGCAATAAATAATTTTTTTTATAACATACAAAAATTTTATTTTAAAATTAACAAAAAAAATTTTTTTTTTTTAAATTTGAGTTTAAAAAATCTTTTTATAGAACATTGATCATGATTGCAGAAGAAAATATGCTAGAATACAGAATTGTAAGAAATTTGATTGCCCAGCTCAACTTATCATAACAGAATACTTAGAATTTCCAGAATATAAAGTAAGTAGGAGGTTTTAATGTTTGTAAACCTACCTCCTGATTAAGATGTTAAAGTAAACTTTTAAAAAAATGTTTCTGGTCAGGTCAGATTTTATTTCATTGCAACTTTTATTATTTTTTCAAAATAGTATAGGCATGCTTATACTTGCTATAACTGTTTAAAAAAAGATTATAATCAATGTATTAATAAATCTATTTATATGTGTATGTAGACATTATGTATGTCTTTTGTTTATGCTACTCTGTTATTTTTAGCTTATATTGGATACTGTCAGAAATAGAAGAGCAAAATCAAAAGAGCTACGATATGCGATAATGTTATAAAAAATGTTTAAAAAATCTATCAAATCAGAAAATTTTGTGTTGCAGTACCAGATATTTCAGCACACAATGGTCATATAATTACCAAGGTATTTTAAGTTTAATCTATTAATTTGTTTAGATCTTATCCATGTTTATATTCTTTTGTGTGTATATTATATGAAAATACATTTATACTTACAAATTTATATAAGGATGCTGGTATAACTCAGAGAATTGACCCTGAACTGGTATCTTCTATTGACATGTATGTTAAAGAAGGTGTATTGAGCACAAAAGAAATGAAGCGCTTATTAAAAATCCAAGTGAAAAACAGTTTCAGTAAAGCCGGTCATGTTCTACCAGAATTCTCAAATAAAAGATTTTATCCCCGTAATTCCACTATCCACAATCACATAACAATTTCTAGACGAAAATTAAGTAAATCTCTTATTGATCAAGAATGTCTTCAGTCAAAAATTAAGGAATGGAGAGCATTAGATCCTATAAGTATATTCTTTAGACCTAAAGGTTTGTTGTTTTGTTTTTTCATATTTATTTAGGTGCCACAAGAAGTCCTTATTGTCTTATCACAGAGCATGGCGGATGAGCATTTATTCGCGCCTCCTTTCTAAACGATGTCGCAAAACTTGCCCAGAGATAGGGTTTGAACCATGGATCCTTTGTTTCTGAGGCAAGTGCGCTACTACTGCACCACAGCTGATCAATTATTGTTATTACTACAGTTTTCTTAAAAATAGTTTCTGCTTTGCTTTTAGTAAATCAATTTTTTTTTGATTTTAGGGCATTTTGAAAAAGACCTTACTGTAGACAGTGACCATGAAGATGATAATGTGAAACTAACAGGTGCAAGTGAAACCTCTTTGCTCTTTGTCTATCAAAATAAATGGCAGAAGAGTCTGTTAGCTAAATATGGTAATGAACTAGTTTTATTGGATGCAACATATTGTACCACACGTTATGCATTGCCGCTTTTCTTTTTTGTGGTAAAAACCAATATTGATTATCAAGTGGTTGGATTATTTGTATGTGAAAACGAAACTGAGGATTCAATCAGTGAGGCTCTTTTGTATATTAAGTCTTGGAATAATGACTTAAATCCAAAGTATGGAATGTCAGACTATTGTGTTGAAGAGATTAATAGTTTAGAGAAGGTTTTTGTCGGTAAGTAACTTTAAGTTTTACTTTTCCTATTTCTCAAACTATAGAATTAATACATTTTCTTTAAACCACATTAATGGCAAAAAAAAGTGCTGTTTTACCATAAACATCACTAAACCTCTGTGCATCTCTTTAGTATTACCTTATTTACAAGAACTAACGAGTGTGTGAAAACAAGTACAGTTTGTCGTAATAATATATAATAAATATGAAAAGCAATAATTTATATTATTTTTAGAAGAAAAAAATTTGATACATGTTTTTTGTATTGAATTGTCTGAGAATTACTTATTTATTTTATACTAATATCCATTATAGGTTGTGTTGTATTCATATGTGATTTTCACAGAGAACAAGCGTGGGACCGTTGGCTGAAAACAAAATCTAATGGCTTAACACAAGATAGGTTAAAGATCTTATGCTTACTTAGAATGATAGCACGTGCAGACACAGTTGAGATATGTGAAGCAGAAATAAATAATTTGAAAAACTGTTTTTATTGGATAAATAACAAAGCTCTAAGAGAATATTTATCAAGATATTGGTTACCAATAAAGCATGTAAGTTTTTATTTGTTGAGATTCGAGAGCTGAATGAAACCTGCAAATGGAAAACTGTATAATTTTTGTTTGCTTTTTTATCTCTATAAGGTATATGGGCCACTACAATTAAGGCAGATATTAAATACTTTAATTACTCTTTATAATTAGCGTTGGGTGAAAGCATATCGTCAGACTTGTTTATTGGTAAATTGTAATACAAATAATGGTGTAGAGCGACAACACAACACATTAAAGCATAAGTATCTTCTAAATCACAGAAATAGTTCCCTTAGTGGAATGTTATCTGTAGTGGTTGACGATTTTCTTTCTGATAAGTATGAGAGGTTTGTTAAAGTTAGCTATTTTGCACAATTTTCAGTTTTATAAAAGTTAGTTTAATTATGCAGCAATTAAACTATTTTCTAGTATACATACTTTGCAATTTATTTGTTTTTATAGCTATATAGACAACAATAGATTAATGAGCTCTAAATACATGAGTTATTCGGATGATATTGATGATTGGATGATAGATCGGCCTCGATTAATGGTGAAGCATTGCCTGTTAAAGAAATCACTTGCTGAGAATTTAGACATAACAGCACTTAAATTTGAAGAATCTGGAAAATTCTCATTGCGATATTATAAAGACAATAAAGAACGAAATTATGTAGTAACTTTTGGAAATGAAGACAACATGCCTAGTTGTACCTGCATGAATTGGAAAAACTCTTGTTATCCTTGTAAGCATTTCTTTGTCATTTTCAAACACTATCCTTATTGGAATTGGGAATCAATATCACCTTTATACCGAATGTCTCCATATCTAAATATTGATATTGATTTTGATCTTGATAACGCAAAAGTTAAAGGATGTAATGATAAACTCAATACAACAACATTTTCCAGTGTAACTACTAAAGAGTCAAATAAAGTGAGTGAAGCATCGATAAAGGCTGATACTCAAAACGTAAGCAAATCATATAAAGTGAGTGAAGCATCGGTTAAGGCTGATACTCAAAATGTAAGCAACACAGGAAGGAAATCTATAACAGGTGAATCCATTAGAAGCCTCTTGTGTGACTTACGAAGTCTGAGTTTTTTAATTGATCATGATACTGAGCTTCTTGAAAATACATATAAAGAGTTGAACAACCTCATCACAAGTCTGAAAAGTGCTGTACCTAAAGAGAGTTGTTTGCCTCTACTACCCAATAAAATTAAAAAAATATCTAAACCAAAATGCTCCATTAAGTATCATAAGCTGCCAGCACCTAAAAAAAAGAGTATGCAATTTAAACGTGTTGGGGAAAAAAAGGAGAAATTATTGGCAGCTTCCAAAATTGAAATAACGTTGAACCCAGAAAAAAAAAATGTAGAAACTGAAGTTATAAATAATAATTTGATTGAGTATGAAAACATATTAGAGTTTGTAGATAACAACATAGTCATTTTCAGTGATGATGAAAATGATACAGATAAAAAAAATGATTCAGATAAAAAAAACTGTATAAGTAAAATAAATCTCAGTGAGAGTGACTTTTCAGATATATTAAACAATGAACGGCTTTCTGACAATGTTATAAATATATTTCAAAACATGATAAAAGACCAATTCAAAGAAGTAAGTGGCCTTCAAGACACTGTGCTTGGACAAAATCTTGCTTTTAGTACGCATATAAATAAACCATTTGTTCAAGTTTTGCATAATGGTTGTAATCACTGGGTAGCAATTTCAACATATGGTTGTAAACCTGGTGAGGTTTTTTTGATGGACAGTCTGTTTCATGGTAAAATTGCAAATCATACAATAGAACAGATATGTGCCATCATGAAATGCACATATGAGAAGTTAAATGTTTGTGTATTACCAGTGCAACAACAGTCAAATGGTGAAGATTGTGGTGTCTTTTCTATTGCTTTTGTTTATCATATTGTAAGTACAAGATCAAAACCAGACAATGTAACATTTTCTATACCAGAGATGAGATCACATATGTTAAATTGCATTAAAGTTAATAAAGTTTCTTCTTTTCCTCAATCGCTAGCAAGTTGCAAAAGGTGTTTTCAAAAAGAGATTTTTATTGAACTGTTTTGCAGTTGTAGAATGCCATGGAATCCCATAGAAAATAGAAATAACAATAATCAAATGGCGCAGTGTTCTCGGTGTAAACAGTGGTTCCACAAAATGTGTGAAAATATTCCTGATTTTGTCTTCTTTAAAAAGAACCGTAGATTACCATGGTTTTGTTATTGTTGTGCAAGTGCAGTTTCATAATTATTTATTCTCTATTAAATTATACTATTCTTTGCTTTATTTAAAAAAGATTTTTTTTTAATTCAACGGCTTTATTCAACATATTTTAGTTCTTACAATTAATCATAACAAAATAATATATTCATTTGAGTTTTTTAACAGTTTAACTTTTTAATAATGTGTTTTCATTAATTAAAATTGAATATTTTAAAGTTTAATTTTAATTAAGTTTTTTAGATTATTTTAAATTTTAATCTTTACTATTATACTGTTTTTTTTAGCCTAATGTTGATATGTGGTTTTAATGTTGATATATGGTTTTAATGTTGATATATGGTTTTAATTTAGTAAATTTTTATGATTTGAAATTTACTTAATTGATCATTAGCCAACAGTTTAGAAAAACAAGTCGAACTCAACTCTATTGCGGTAAGAGCAATTGTGTTTACTTCTTTACATTAGAAAACTAATTATTGCTTTTTGTCAAGTTTTTGGAATTTTATGTTACAATTTTTTATAATAAAAATAATGATAATAATTTAAATTATAGACAAAAGTACAAGTTTTATACCAAAAGTATAAATCTTTCAGTAGATGTCAGTTCTTACAATAGATGTATCTTACACTAGAAGCCAAAAGTACAACGCTAGTCTTATACTATAAGTGTAAATCTTACACTAGAAGTCAAAAGTACAACGCTGGTTTTATACTAAAGGTATAAATCTTACACTAGAAGTCAAAAGTACAACGCTGGTTTTATACTAAAGGTATAAATCTTACACTAGAAGCCAAAAGTACAACGCTAGTCTTATACTAAAAGTGTAAATCTTACACTAGAAGCCAAAAGTACATCGCTGGTTTTATACTAAAGGTATAAATCTTACACTAGAAGTCAAAATTACAACGCTGGTTTTATACTAAAGGTAGAAATCTTACACTAGAAGCCAAAAGTACAACGCTAGTCTTATACTATAAGTGTAAATCTTACACTAGAAGCCAAAAGTACATCGCTGGTTTTATACTAAAGGTATAAATCTTACACTAGAAGTCAAAAGTACAACGCTGGTTTTATACTAAAGGTATAAATCTTACACTAGAAGTCAAAAGTACAACGCTGGTTTTATACTAAAGGTATAAATCTTACACTAGAAGTCAAAAGTATAACGCTGGTTTTATACTAAAGGTATAAATCTTACACTAGAAGCCAAAAGTACAACGCTAGTCTTATACTATAAGTGTAAATCTTACACTAGAAGCCAAAAGTACATCGCTGGTTTTATACTAAAGGTATAAATCTTACACTAGAAGTCAAAAGTACAACGCTGGTTTTATACTAAAGGTATAAATCTTACACTAGAAGCCAAAAGTACAACGCTAGTCTTATACTATAAGTGTAAATCTTACACTAGAAGTCAAAAGTACAACGCTGGTTTTATACTAAAGGTATAAATCTTACACTAGAAGTCAAAAGTACAACGCTGGTTTTATACTAAAGGTATAAATTTTACACTAGAAGTCAAAAGTACAACGCTAGTTTTATACTATAACTATTATTCTTACACTAGAAGCCAAAAGTACAACGCTAGTTTTATACTATAACTATTATTCTTACACTAGAAGCCAAAAGTACATCGCTGGTTTTATACTAAAGGTATAGTCAAAAGTATAACGCTGGTTTTATACTAAAGGTATAAATCTTACACTAGAAGTCAAAAGTACAACGCTAGTTTTATACTAAAGGTATAAATCTTACACTAGAAGCCAAAAGTACAACGCTAGTCTTATACTATAAGTATTAATCTTACACTAGAAGTCAAAAGTACAACGCAAGATTTCAATCGAAAAAATTAGAATAAAAGTCACTCGTTTTACACAAACTATTACTACGGCGACCGAATCAATTTTGAAAACGAGGCGTACTTTTGACTTCTACTATATATTGCTAACCGTATATATAACTAGGTACGCGGATATCGCAATTTACGGAACCGGTTTTTGTGCTAAAATTTTGGTTCTCATTTTTTTGACTCTTTTTTAAGGCAGCGTGAGGCAGACATAGTTTTGTGGAATTTCTTTTTAGAAACAGATATACACATAGATACTTTTTGGAAAGAAGAAAGGCTAATCTTGCTTTATTTAAGAAATTTATGCATAGTTATTACACTTTTTTATCGATTATTTTGCTTCTGAATATTTGGTTGGTGTTCTCACATGAATTTGTAGTAGAAGAAATGTTGATCCGGCTTTTTTTTTTTATTCAGACATATTTCTACATGCATTTTCTATGGGCATGCCAAATTTCAACGAAAAATAATTGGTAGCAGATAGTTTAAAATGCATTATATTACCTATACCACTTATTTTAGGTAGTCTTAGGCAAACGTTTTTTTTTGTGTTTGTTTTAAGAAACATGCATAAACATAAATTATTTTCATAAAGAAGAAAGGTTGATCTAGATTTTTATATGACTTTTATGCATGGTTACCCAACATTTTTATGGATTATTTTGCTGACAATAGTGCATGAAAATTTTGTCCCTGTTCTCACATTAATTTAATGTCAAAGGAATGTTGATCCGGCTTTTTTTGTTAGTTTTTCTATATTTTACATGCATTTTCTAAGCACCTGCCAAAAATCAACGAAAAATAATTGGTAGCAGATAGTATACTAGGTGTTAGACTTTTGGTACATAATTTTGGTTTTTCTGTTGTTTTTTTTCGTTAAGCTTGTTACGGGTGTGGATAGGGGGGCCGACTATATAAAAACATAACAAATCCTAACATCGTATTATTTTGAATTTTATTTTTAGATAAAAATAAATAATGAATTATAACAGCTGTTGTTGAATCTATAACAGATAGTAAGTTTAATTTCTTTTTATATGTTTATGCATTTCTTAGCAATCACAATATTTATTTTTATTTCAACTTTGTTAACCTTTAGTTACATCTTCAGCTGCTACAAGTGCTAAGTTTATAAACTATTATTTTCTAATATGTGTATGCATAATTTACATGTGTAAAAGTATTTTTTCTAATATGTGCATGCATATCTTATCGATAGCAAGTAAATTGTATTTTTATTTTTAAAAATTTTACCTTTAGTCCCACAACCTCCACAACAACTAACACAACCTTCTGCTGGTAAATTTATGATTTAGAAATGTTGTTGAATGATTATTTAATTATATTTTTATTTATATTCACAAATTAGTACATTTATATTATGTTATCCTTCAAAGTGCAGTAGAAGTAAAACCCAGAGCAGTATTTGATTTTATTTGATTATTTGTTATTTTTTACCATTCAATACTAATGTAGTTACAATTTATTGTCTTTTAGAGTTTACTTACGGTGCCTATAGAAGATATAGGGACCAGCACCCTGGACCGATGAGCAATCGATCATTTTTGCGGTGGGTCCGGTTAGGAGGGAATGATGGTGAGCATTCAGCTGGGCCTATCATCCTCCTAACAGGGGTGCTGGAAGCTCCAGCAGAAGAGAAAATCGTGGAGGAGGTCGTGGGCGAAGACGGAATGGTGGCGGCCTTGTTGTGAATGGTGGCATCCACTATTACTAGGCGCCACCACTCCTTTATTTTTTTTTAATAAATATATAACATTATCAAGTTTGTTTTCTATTTTGTCCGAATTTTTACAATTATTAACATTTGATTTATTTATTTTAAATCTTTCACAAAATGGTTTAAAAGCAAAGCATTGACAGATGTAGTAGTTTGCAAGGGACCTGTTTTGTATGTTTTCAATGTAAGTAAAAGTTTTAGGATTTTTTGAGGTTTTGAAATTTTTTTTATTATTTCTATTTTATTATTTTTTTATAATTTCATTATTCACTAACAACAATGAGTCATTTGTTAGAACTCTTAAACAAGTAAATGAGTTATTTTGTTTAAACTCTACTAAACATCAACTCTATAATGTTATTAACACTTCAAAAAAATTGACTATAAAAGGGATTGTACAAGTTTTATTGAATTTTGTAATCAGCCCTTTACACACCACACACCAAGCGTGTCAATGAGGCAGGCAATGCATCTTAAACAGCGTAGTTCATTGGTCACAGTTGAAAAGTCTTCTGTTCTGCCATCCCATGAACATATTTCTATTTTACCTTCAGTTATTAGAGAACCTGAAAATTCCATTGAAAATGATACAAGACATAAATTCTATAACTTGTATTTTAAAACTATTTAAAATATAAGTTTTAAAACTGTGGTTAATTTTTAGGGTGGATACTCCAACCTGCATCTTGTAATGTGGTAAGATTATTAAATTTATGTCTCGCTTTTTACACAATTTAAAGACATTTTTTAAATTTTTATTGACATTTTTTTAAAGTTTAAATAAGAAGAGGTCAGGGGGGGGGACGTTGGGCATGGCACACACCCCTCCCCTCACTAACATGGTAAAATAATCTTAAATACTAATTTCTCTTTTTAAATAAACTCAGTTTAAAACCATTTTTCAAATATCTTTTAAAATTTTTTTTAGGTTGGAGAAGACTGAGCGGAAAGGGGGGGGGGGTAGGGGCGTTAAGCATGGCATCGTTCCGCCGCTAATGTCAATTTATGCACCACTTGTATATTCTGTTAAGTAAAAAAATATAATTTAAAGTCTTTAACACAAAATATAATCAGTGTTTTTTAGGCTCAAATATTTATAAGATGGTCACATTTCACTAAAAGGGTGTTAAAACGTAACAAATACATCCACCCTTTAATCTAAAATAGGCCAATAATATTTGGAAAAGTAATGGAAGCAAATTAGAACAACTTTTTGTGTATTACCCCCTCTGGCCCTCTAGACACCCCTTTTATCTATAGAGCTATATGAACTTGTAGCCTACTATTACATCTATCTTTTGATACCAAGGTATAGGCATTTGGATAAGATTTGACAAAGTTATAACAATTTCAGTGAAAAAAAAATTAATTTTGGAACCAGTTTCTTCAAGAAATCCATATATCGAAAATTTGCTCCTAAAAACGTCATAACTTTTTTTTAAATTGTTCGCTTTTAAAAATTTTCACAATTAAAATACATTTTTGAAGGGCTTTCTAATGATATATAACATTCTAGTATATGTTCAATTAAAAAAAATCAGTCCACGTACCTAATATAACTATTGTTATATTGTTGGAGTGAACTCAAACTTAAACGATATCAATGTAGGTGTTCCTCAGGGATCTGTCCTTGGCCCTTTGCTGTTTCTTATTTATATAAATGACATGTCTAAAGCATTAAAATTTTGTCGAGTCCAACACTTTGCAGATGACACAAACCTTCTCTACTTTAATAAATCTGTAAAAAAAATCAACAAATATGTTAACTATGACCTTAAGAAACTATGCAATTGGCTTAATGCAAACAAAATATCCCTCAACTCCAAAAAAACTGATTTAATATTATTTAAAAGTCCCCACAAAAAATTAAACCAACAGATCAAAGTTAAATTAAATGGGAAAAAACTTTATTGTAAAAAATTTGTTAACTACTTGGGTATAAAGCTAGACAAAAACTTAAACTGGGCTTATCATTATAACGATATCTCTAATAAGTTGAATAGATCCCTTGCCATTCTATCAAAGCTAAAACATTTCATTCAACAAAAAACTTTAAAATCTATATACTATGCTTTATTTCACTCTCACCTCACATATTGCCTTTTATCATGGAGTCAAAATATGAGTATTATTAATCGCCTATTTATCATGCAGAAAAAAGCAGTCAGAATTATTGAATTTCTTCCAAAAAATTCACATACATCCACATCTTTTAACACATTACATATCTTAAAAGTACATGATTTAATTAAAATTGAAAATTGCTTATTTATTCACAGCTGCCTTAATAAAAAACTGCCTCCTATATTTGATGAATAGTTTACTCAACGCAGTGCAATTAGCAGCCGATTTACAAGAAATTCTTGTAGCGGTGCACTGAGTGTGCAAACATATAATACAAAATCCTATGGTAAACAATCCTTTAAATACTCTGCAATAATGAACTGGAATCAACTTCAAAATAAATTAAAAACAATCCCTTTTTGCAATATTAAAAAATATACTCTCAAAAATAAATTAAAATACTACCTGATAAATCAAGATAATTTAAAACAATAAATGAATCGTTGGTGATAAAATATTTATGGCAATAGAAGTTATAGGAGATATGATATAAATATAAATGTTAAATAATAGCAACCTTATGTGAATGTATTAGCTAGCTTGTTTGTTTGTTTTTTTGTTTTTTTTTGTTTTTTTTAATGTTTTGTTTTTCTTTCGTTTTTGTTTTGCTCGTGGTCGCTCTCCTCGATTTAGCCAGGCTATATGAGAGTGAACCATCCAGAATATAGGCTATACATATTTTTTTTTTTTTTTTATTTGTATTTTATAACATGCTTATTGTAAAACATCTATATTCTTGGTAAATATATTGCTTTTTGTTGTTGTTGTTGTTGTTGTTAAGAATTATGTATATGAAAGAAACACTAACCTTTAGGGACTATTACATCCATGAATTAATAGAGTAACCCACTGTAAAAGCAATGAAGTTAACGAAATAAAGACCACGTAATAAAGCGATTTTAGTAACAAATAATAATATCTATCGAACAAGGCACGTGTTTTGAATCATCCTAAAGAACGCTAACCGTGTGATGTGTTGTTATCAAGGCCCTTAAATAACAATTATCAAGGCCCTTAAGGTGCGTTTCCATTCGTCCGTTTTTCCAAGGGAACGGGAAAGGCATGGGATAAAAACAAGATTTCGGACAGATCGGATGGGATATATCCATTTCCACTTGTACTCGTAAAATTTTAAAAAATGATAGCAAATTAATAAAAATGGCGGTTTTATCGATCCTTAGCAAAAAAACTTTATATATGTTATTACTATATTATTTAAAAATCAAAAAAAGACAAAAGTATAAAAAGTGGATGTGGGTCAGAAAATTATTTAGAGAGAGAAAATCAAAAGGAGCATTCAGTTTATTTATAAAAGATATGCAACTTTTCGATCACGAATATTTTTTTAAGTTTTTTAGAATGACACCTACAAAGTATGAGCAATTTTTAAGTCTAATCGCACCGGTGATAACAAAATCTTCCCTCAGGCGTGAAACAATTGGAGCTAGTGAACGATTAATGGTCACTTTGAGATACATTTTTGGAGGCACTTCGCAAATAGATCTAGCTGGTATGTTTCGAATAAGTCCGACTTCGATAGGAAGAATTATTAACGAAACCTCTATTGCTATATGGACTATTTTGTTATCTAAAGAATATATTAGCTACCCAAAAAGTGAAAATGAATGGAAATTTATAGCAAATGAGTTTGAAAGGAAATGGAACTTCTCTAATTGTATAGGGGCTATAGATGGGAAACATATAGTTATGCAAGCCCCCTCAAGATCAGGCTCTTTCTACTTTAACTATAAAAAATCGCATTCTATTGTTTTGATGGCTGTTTGCAATGCAAACTATGAATTCACTCTTGTAGACATCGGTGATACTGGTAGGAACAGTGATGGTGGTGTATTTGGAAACAGTAAGATGGGAATTGCTTTTGAAACAAAACTATTACATATCCCAGAACCCAATGAACCATCTGGTTCAAGTATAAAACTGCCTTATGTTCTCATTGGAGACGAGGCATTTCCTCTCAAGAAATATCATATGAAGCCATACCCTAGAGAAATATTATCTTTGAAGGAAAGAATATATAATTATAGATTGTCACGAGCACGCAGAATAATAGAAAATACTTTTGGGATTTTGGCAGCACGGTGCAGAATTTTTCGTAAACCAATTATTGCAAAAG